GGAAGGAAGGAAGGAAGGAAGGAAGGAAGGAAGGAAGGAAGGAAGGACACTGAAAGTGTGAAGAGCATCTGGGGTGGCAGGGCTGGAAGGCGAGGGCAGGATCAGTGGATGAGCCAGAGGGCCGCTTTTGGGGGTCTCCAGCTTCTCCCCCGCTTTGTCCCCAGGGCAGTCACGGAGAGCATCAACCAGCTGATCACCTTGTGTACCCAGCAAGCGCCTGGCCAGAAGGAGTGCGACAACGCTCTCCGGGAACTGGAGGTCTGTCCTTGGCTCTCCTCTTGAGGGTCTGGCGGGTGCGAAGGGCGTGGCCGGGGCTCCTGGGCTTCCCCCGGAAAGGATCCTGCCTTGGCGAACGTTGCTTCATTCTGGGTTGCAGAAAAGCCCCTGGGAGCGACTGGATGACGGGGGGGGGGGGGTCCTGTCCCCCCCGCCCCCGCCGCCCGGGGGGGGGGGGGGGGGGGGGGGGGGGCCGATGGGTGATCCAGGAAGCCTGACCGGGCTCAGCTGGGGGTCCTGGGCTTGACTTGGGCTGGGCTGCTCTCCTTTCAGACCGTGAAGGAGATGCTGGAGAACCCCAGCGAGCCCGTCAGCGACCAGTCTTACTTCGACTGCATCGAAGGCGTCATGGAGAACTCCAAGGTGGCCCTTCCCAACCCTCCCCCGAGAGATCCCCCCCCCGGGGGGGCCCTGGTGCCTTGAGGGTTGGGGTGAGGAGGAGGGGGGAAACGGGGGGGGGGGGGGGGGGTGAGGGCAGGTGCAGCTCTTTCCAGAAGCACAGAGAGGCCGGACCTGGGCTCTCTCTCCTCCAAGAAAGGGCCGGGAGTCCCAAGGACGGCCCTCTCACCTGGGCTCTTTCCGAAGGTGCTCGGGGAAGCAATGGCCGGCATCTCCCAGAACGCCAAGACCGGCGACCTGCCTGTCTTCGGGGAGTGCGTGGCGGTGGCTTCCAAGGCGCTCTGCGGTCTCACCGAAGCCTCAGCTCAGGTGGGTTGGGGTTGGGGGTTGAATCCAAAGAAGGCTTCCTTCCAGCCTTCCGGGGCCGCTTTGCAGGGGGGACCTGGGTCCAGTGGGTTGTTGCTGCCAGGTGGCCGTTATTTGAGCCTGGTCACTCTGGGCTTCCGGAGTAACTGCAGCCGGCCCAGGGGGCCCGGTTCACAGTTGGGCAGCAAACGCCAGCCTTGCTTGAAGGGGGCTCTGGCAGGGACCTGAAAGCCCCCTCCCCAACAACAGCCAGGAGGTAGGTGAGGGAGGGCAGCTCTGCAAATGGGCTGGCCGGAGTCATGCTTTGGGTTCCCTTGGAGGGGGGGGCGGGGCTGGGCTGCTGCTTGGCCTCTGACCTCTGTTGAAGGGCCAGGGAGCCTCCTCTTCCCCTCCCATTTGGGCTCCTCCCCCGAAAGGGGCTTGGCGGGGGGGCTGTTTCACGCGGTTGGCTGAACCCCCTCCCCCCACGTTGGTTGTCGCCTAGGCCGCCTACCTGGTTGGCATCTCGGACCCCAACAGCCAGGCTGGCCAGCAGGGCCTCGTGGATCCCATCCAGTTTGCTCGTGCCAACCAGGCCATCCAGATGGCCTGCCAGAACTTGGTGGATCCGGCCAGCAGTCCGTCCCAGGTAAGGCTCCCTTCGGGCCAGGCGGCACGGCAGTTGGTCAGCAACACACACACACACACCAGGTGAGGCTGCTAATACTCCCAAGGTGGCCTATAAAGGGAAAGGAATGCCTTGCCCAGCAGAAGGTGGCCTCTGAAAGGCCTTTCCGGCCATGGGAGCCTGGGTCTCTCTTGGGCCGCCTGGGCCCTTCGGCACCGCTTTCCGCCTGCTTGCTCCTTGCAGCCAGCGGAGGGGACGCCCTGTGGCCGTGGAGTCCCTGGGGGAGGAGAGGTGTGATCTTTCCCAGGGCGAGGGCCTCGGTCTCTGCTTTGGCCTCCTCTGGCCGACAGCTGCGCTGGCTCAAGCGGGGGAAGGCCGGTCCTGACGGAGCTTCCTCCCTGGATTTCAGGTGCGCAAAGCCCTGAGTCCCTGTTCCCCGCTCCCGGTATCTCTTTCAGGTCTTGTCAGCGGCCACCATTGTAGCCAAGCACACCTCTGCCCTGTGCAACGCCTGCCGCATCGCCTCGTCCAAAACGGCCAACCCTGTGGCCAAGAGGCACTTCGTCCAGTCGGCCAAGGAGGTGGCCAACAGCACAGCCAACCTGGTGAAGACCATCAAGGTGGGAGAGACCCCGGCCCCTTCGAGCCCTCCAGCAGAGACGAAGCGGGGGGCGGGGGGGGGTCTTGGAAAGGAAAGCCCTTTCCCCCCTCCCACCAGAAAGCCTTCTCCGTGTCCTCAAGGGAGGGGGGGCAGGCCGGGAGCAGTCTCCCCCAGGGCCGTGGAGGGACGTTCTCCGGCCATCGTCTCCAGAGGCTTCCGGTTCCCCCGGGACAGGAGAGAAAAGCTGGTTTGGCGGAAGCTGCGGAAAGCCAGAAACCAGGACTGAAAAGTGGGCGGTTCGGACACAGGCGGAGGGGGGGGGGCAGCTTCCTTGGGGGGATTTTTTTAAATGTTCTGCCTTCCTCCTGAGATATTTCTTTCAGGCGCCCTATTTTGGGGTGGGGTCCTTCCCATTATTCTGCACTCGGTTTGCTACCATTTCGTGCCAACCTCTTTCTGAATGAGGTTTGGACTAAGACCGAAACAAACTCCTAAAATCCCAAATTGGCCTCCAACGCCGATTTAAAATAAGCCAGTTGTGATAAAAACAGAAATCTCAAACCGGCCAACTCTGAACATTTAAGGGACAGGAAAGAAACTGCAGGTAATGTTTCAGCGAAAAACCCGAGAAAACAAATAAGGTTTTGCAGGCCCCTAAACAGGACCATGTGGACGGAGCGTGTCCTCCTTTCGCTGCTCCTCACACTCGACAAAAAGGACGAAAGCCAGAACGGAAGTGTAGTTTTCAAGGAAAAGGAAACTCAAGGGAACCAGATCTGCCCACTGAGAAATCTCTGCGAATGCTCAGGAGCAAATTTCCTTTCTTTTCAAATTCAGATGCTGGATGCAGGCGGATTTTGTTTCTGATCTGCCCAAATTATGCCGGCAATTAGATTAATGACTTGTAATTTTTAAGGTGGGCCATTGATTTCACTTCGTGACTTTTTTCTAATAGGTTTCTATTTTTTCTGCCTGGTGCAGTTTGATCGCCTTAATGAGGACTGGGAAAGGAATGGTCCTAATTTGGTTTAGTCTTCCAGAGAATGGCCGTGGTTGTTTTTTTTACTTCCTTTTCGAGCAAAAGCTGAGGACTCACTTTTCCCTCTTCGGGGCTTGCTGAGGACTCATTTTCAGAGAGTTCATCGGGGAAAGTAGGACTAGAGATATTGGCTTCCGAGTCCTACAGGGCTGGGTGGGGAATGCTGGGAGTTGGAGTCCACACATTCTCAAAGGCCCAGTTTGAGAAGCTCGGCTGCAGGGTCTGGATCATGAGCTGGTCGCCCTCCCAAAGTGTGAAGTCCTGGGGCCGCCAACTGCCTGGAGCGGTCAGGCAGCGGCCTGGGTTTGTTTCTCCCTGCGGGCTGAGAGAACCCCGTCCACTCTGAGACCTTCACGCAATCACGGTCAAGCTGGGCGTGAAGCGTTTCCTGCCGTGGGATCTCTGGGCTTCTTTGAGTGTCCCAGCAGGAGAGGAAGGCAGAATAGAGAGTTTGGTGGACTTCCAAAGCAAGGGGAGAATTTGAACCCAGCTTCTATCCGAGACCTTCCCCAGCTCCAGCCGGCCCGCTGAAGGAGGGGACTCAGCGACCTCCTGGAATGCTTGGCCTTCGCCGTTGAGCGCTCTTGCTGGAACGGCCGTCCGGTCGCCTTTTAGTCTTTCTTTCTTTCTTAAACGGAGCTCTAACCCGTGTTTGCGTCTCCTCACCAGGCTCTGGATGGAGACTTTTCGGAAGACAATCGGGGCAAGTGCCGGACCGCCGCTGCTCCACTCATTGAAGCCGTGGAAAATCTGACCGCCTTTGCCTCCAACCCTGAGTTTGCCAGCATTCCTGCCCAGATCAGTGCTGAGGTAAGAGCCCCACTGACCTGGGGGCCTCCAGAGCCGGCTGTGTCCTCCCACCCGAGCCTTTAATGCCACGTTGATGGAGGAGGAGGAGGAGGAGGAGGAAGAGGAGGCCCAGGCACCTTGGAAGTCCCTCGCTCATCCGATGGCCTCTTTCCAGGGTTCCCGCGCACAGGAGCCCATCCTGGCTTCAGCTCGGACCATGCTGGAGAGCTCCTCTTTCTTGATCAAAACCGCCCGCTCCCTGGCCATCAACCCCAAGGACCCCAACACCTGGTCTGTCCTGGCTGGACATTCGCACACGGTCTCCGAGTCCATCAAGAGCCTCATCACTTCCATCAGGTGCAGCTCCCTCCCGTCACCTCCTGCACGGTGCTGGGTTGGCCCCTGCTGCTCTGGAGGGGGACGTGCAAAGCGGGAAGCCCGGCCCGGGGCTGGGAGAGGAACCCGGAACGCGACCATTCCCAGGCCGGAAGCCTTTGCCCCGGGCCCAGTTCCGGAGTGGTGATTCCGTTGTTTTCTGCAGGGACAAAGCTCCAGGCCAGCGGGAGTGTGACCACGCCATTGACGGCATTAACAGGTGCATCAGAGACATCGAGCAAGCCTCCCTCGCCGCCGTCAGCCAGAACTTGGCCACCAGGGATGACATCTCTGTGGAGGTAAGGGACACGCCGGGTCTTCCCCAGGAAGCAAAGGCGAATTCCCCACCCAGTGTGGGGGTGTGGGCGTTTCCCCTTTGGATGCAAATTGGAAGACCCGCCAACAGAACAGCAGAGGCAGCGCTGCGGGTATAAACCAGCGGCCCCCAACCTTTTGGCTACCAGGGATCGGTTTTGTGGAAGACAATTTCTCCATGGACTGGGGAGGGCGGAAGAATGGGGAGGGGAGGAGCCCACAACCTAGACCCCACCTGTGCGCAGCTGTGCGGCCCAGTTCCTGACAGGTACTGGTCCATGGCCCAGGGGTGGGTGATCCCTGGTGTAAGGAGCCCAGAAGAATTTCCCAGGATTCACAGCTCAGTACAGATGAGCAGACCCAGGGGAGATGCAGAAACCATGATGGTTTGCAAATGGAGGCAGGAACTTCCTTCAGGGCTCGGCTGTTGAGTCCACCTTTTGGTGAGCTGCCCAAGGAGTAGCTAGGAAGCCAAAATCTTCACCACGGGGGCTGATGAGAAGAGGGTGACCGTTGTTGTCTGTCTCTCAGGCCTTGCAGGAACAGCTGACCTCCGTTGTCCAGGAAATTGGCCATCTGATCGACCCCATAGTGACGGCAGCCCGAGGGGAGGCAGCTCAGCTTGGACACAAGGTAGGGGCTCAAGAGGCGGCAGGGGTCTCTTCTTGGGGTCTTTGGGATGGCAGACATGGCAGAGGTCCTCAACCTTGGGCAGCTTTTAAGATGTGTGGACTTCAACTCCCAAGATGCCCCAGGCCACAAGTCACCAAGCTTGGAAAGCCCACTGCTGGTTTGGCGGGATTGGGAGAGGCGTGAATCTTTGCACCCGTCTTAGAAAGGGCCCCCTCGGGTGCCTGACTCCTTGTCTCCTCACCTGCTCAGGTGACGCAGCTCTCCAGCTACTTCGAGCCCTTGGTTCTGGCGGCCGTGGGCGTCGTCTCCAAGCTGATGAATCACCAGCAGCAAATGAACCTGCTGGATCAGACCAAGACCTTGGCTGAATCGGCCCTCCAGATGCTCTACGCGGCCAAGGAAGGAGGGGGGAACCCAAAGGTATCTGTCAGTGGCACAGGGGGCGGGGCAGATCCCTCCCAGCGGGGAAGAGGGGGGGGTGACCAGGGAGCTTGGATGTGTGCAACAGGAAGCCCATCCTTTTTCAGCCTTGGGGGGACTCCCATTCCCCAAATTCCCAGCCAGGCTGGGCTAACTCAGGATAACGGGAGGTCTAATCTGGCCCACGTGGCGGGCATTGAGCCGGAGCCCTTGTATCCCCTGAAACGGGTCTCGGCTGTCAGGAGGAAATTTCAGCCAGAAAACACGATTTGCATGTCACAAGTCTACAAATAGGCTCCTCGGGAGTGGCCCCGTTTCAGGCGGCGCTACGTGGTGGGAGCCCTGGAGAATTCCTCCGCTGCCTCTCCTGCAAGGGCCTTTAATTAAAAGCTCAGCCTTCAGTAATCAACTCCATCTGATTAGGATCTTCCGCCAGGCAGAAAATGTTTTAATTGCCTTTTTTATTTTAAAAATAAAAAAAAAGATGCTCGGAATAAGCTTTTGAAGAATCAGATATTGGGAAGTGGGGGAGGGGTGAGAACTTTTTCAAGAACTGCTTTTGACTTGAATGTTCCGGGGTGGGGGGAGGGGATTCCAAACGTCACAAAGAGTTTGACTGTGGAAGCCGTGACCCCAAGAGGGGACCCCCCTGATGGGGACTCCTGCATTGGGCAGAGGTTTAGGTTGGATGATCTCGGGGGTGCCTTCCTGAGACTAAATCCTGGGGCTGCTCCGGAAAGCTGCTGTAGTTCCTCTTGGATACACCAGGAAGCTTCTAATCCAATGGGTACCTGGCCCCCTTTAGACCGGCAGCCTTTTCGAGAGACGTCCTTTCCACTGGATCCGTTCTTAGAAACCAAGGAAAGGATGATGGGTCTCGGTTCTCTCCCCCAGGCGTCACACACTCACGATGCCATCCTGGAAGCAGCACAGCTCATGAAGGAAGCCGTGGATGACATCATGGTGACCTTGAACGAGGCCGCCAGTGAAGTCGGCATGGTGGGGAACATGGTGGATTCCATCGCTGAAGCTATGAGTAAGGTGGGTGAAGGACCTTCCGCATCCATTGCTACTTCCCATGAGGGGCCCATGTGGCTTTCTTGGGGCACCCAAGGCGGCTCAGGCTAGTCTGACTGTCAGGGTTCTGGCGATTGCCCTAATTAAATCACGAGTCTCAAACCAAGCTTCAAAACCTACATGAACCCGACTCTGGCATGCGTAATTTACAGTCGCCCGTGACCCTATTTCATCCCCCCCCCCCCCCCGGACGTTTCATAAATCAGACTCTCCAATGAAGCACATTCATGAGCTGGGTGTCATCAATCATGTTCTCCAAGAAAGGATTTTCACGGGCAGAAGATCCGGTAGCCTTGCTACAATCTTTGTAAGATAAGCGTGGAATGTACTTCTGGTTTTAAACGGCCCTACTACTCCTTCAGATTCCCCCCTCCCTCGTTTATGGCCACTCGAAAACAGGAATGTTTTACGAGTTGACACTGACAACTATCCAGCTTCTTCACTTCTTTCTTAAGTGTTATCGTAACCATCTTTTCTCAGCAGCTGTTGTGCGGTTACGTTACTTGTTGAAATAGGGGAAGGGGATTTGCAGGAAATGCCTCCTTGCCCAGCACTGTCGTTCTTCCGCCAGGCAGGTGAAAGTTAGTCTACTGGTCTTCCAACTGGGGTCCTACCCCAAAAGATGGGGTTGCTTCGACCTTTTTTTGCCTCTCGGTCATTCTCAGCCAGACCTTCTAGATGACGGGCAGTGGTGTTGGACCTCAGCTCCCATCACCTGAAGCCGGTGGCCAGGCTGATTGTGAATTATGGGATGTGTAGTCCAGCGGCTCTGGAGGGTCCCAGGTTGGGGTCTTCTACCCTCCCTCTCTTTTCCACCCTCTCCATCATGCAGCTAGACGAGGGGACTCCGTCCGATCCCAAAGGGTCCTTCGTGGACTACCAGACCACCGTTGTCAAATACTGCAGGGCCATCGCGGTCACCGCCCAGGAGATGGTAAGAGAAGCACCTGCACCGCCTAAAATCCGCTCAGGGCTTCGCTTCGCACCTGAGGCAGCAGAGCAACCTGTTTAGCAAATGCCCAGAAATGGGGAGTTTTGCAAGGGACAAAACAGAAAGCTGGAGCGACAGTTCGGAACAAGCCAGAACCGAACCTGCAACAGAATCCCTCCATAAAACGGGTCAGAATACCAGAGGCGATTAACAGAAAGAAAGGGGGGGGGAGAGCAAGCGAAATGGGGGGCAGGGTCTTCAAAAGCCCCCATCAGGCCTTCCAGTCTGTGTTGCTAGGCAACGTGGCAAACTAGGCCGCTCATCCTAACTTCCATCCTTTCAGATGACCAAGGCGGTCACTAATCCAGAGGAACTGGGAGGACTCGCCTCGCAAATGACCACCGACTACGGACACCTGGCCTCCCAGGGCCGGATGGCAGCGGGGACGGCGGAACCGGAGGAGGTCTGCCATCCCTGTTGCCCCCCTACGTGCATCAGCCCAGCCCCCCCCCAGCCCTGTGGGGTTGTGGGAAGCGAGCCCACCGTAGATCTGGGGGCGGCCTACAGCGGTTCAAAGTTCTGCATCCCCCCCCCCCAAATTGGGAAACCCCTTTCGGAACGCAGAGGATAAACCCCCTCCCCCTTTCAGAGTGGAAGCCCACCTTCCTCCTAATTTGGGGGAAGGGAAAATTGAGAGCCCCTCCTAAGCCTGGTCCTTCCCGGGGCGGATTAGCTTGTCCTTCCTCTTCATCGCCGGTTCTTTCCTCTGCCCTCTTTTGGCCCCACAGATCGGGTTCCAGATCAGAACCCGGGTTCAAGAACTCGGACACAGCTGCATCTTCCTGGTCCAAAAAGCCGGGGCCCTGCAGATATGCCCAACTGACGCCTACACGAAGCGGGAGTTGATCGAATGCACCCGGACGGTCAGCGAAAAGGTGGGTGCTTGCACTACCCCGCCCTCGCCACCCCTCCTTCGATGGGCCATCCCTGCATCCTCCTTGGTTCCTTCTCTTGGACAGGTGTCCCTGGTGCTGTCGGCTCTCCAGGCAGGGAACAAGGGCACCCAGGCGTGCATCACGGCTGCCAGCGCCGTCTCCGGCATCATCGCTGACCTGGACACCACCATCTTGTTTGCTGCGGCCGGCACACTGAATGCCGAGAACAACGAATCCTTCGCTGACCACAGGTGAGGCTGGGTACATAGGGAGGGAGGGGCCAAGGGTTGGGAGTAGGTTTACTCTGAAATGGTTTGTGGGGAGGGGAGAGATTGGAAAGAAGCAACAATATAGAGGTTCACGAAGAAAGTGCCCTCGGTTGTTGGTTTAATAGTAGTAGCAGCAGCACCCAGACTTATATACCGCTTCACAGTGCTTTCCAGCCGCCTCTAAGTGGTTTACAGGGTCAGCACACTGCCCCCAACAATCTGGGTCCTCATTTTACTGACCTAGGAAGGACAGAAGACGGAGTCAGCCTTGAGTTGGTCAGGTTTGAACTGTCGAACTGCTGTCAGTCGGCATAAACAGCCTGCAGTACTGCATTCTAACCACTGCGCCCCCCCCCCCAATTCCTAATAGTAGCATTAATGTGATGTTATTCAAGACCCCAAATTCAAATGAACTGTTTTGTATTTCGGCTAGGGTATCTTTGGACTACAGGGAACTTGTGTCTTAAATCAGTAAACTCGGAAATAATTTGAATTTCCTTTGGCCTAAAGGAGATTTTTTTTTCCCCCCTTCACCTTTAAACAGCAGACAACTTTAAAAAAAGGATAAATTCTTTGTCTGTAAAGATAAATTCTTAAGTAAGACAAGCCACCCCAAACCCCAACACCCTGTTCAGAGCAACACCCGGAGGAGCTAAGAAAGAAGACGTGGACCTGCGTCCGCTCTTTAGAACTAATTTCCAAGTTAATTACGGTAACCGTTTTTGGAATCACTGCACTGGTGACTGTAGCTGAGTGCAAATCAAAATAATTGGTTTGTTTTTTTTAAGTTCACGTCGCCTATCCAAAGCGGTCAAAGCTAAAAGGTAGAATGCAAAAGGAGAATTCAGATGCAGGAGGCGATCAATCAGAAATGCGCTAATAAAAAAGGGGGAAAATCCGCTCTTGCGTGTTTGCGCCAGTTTCTGCCGAGTGGGGGGAAGGGGCTGCCTGATTCTGCCTGCTCCTGCCAGCCCCGCTTCCTTCCGCCCCCGTCCTTTCCCCAGGGAAAACATCCTAAAGACCGCGAAGGCCTTGGTGGAAGACACCAAGCTGCTCGTCTCCGGAGCCGCCTCCAGCCAGGAGAAGTTGGCCCAAGCGGCCCAGTCTTCGGCCAGCACCATCACGCAACTGGCAGAGGTGGTGAAACTGGGAGCGGCCAGCCTTGGCTCGGATGACCCTGAGACGCAGGTGCGGGTGGAGAGGCGTCACGGGAGAGACCCCGTCCTAGGATCGGGGGTGGGGGGCTGGGTCAACCCCGAATCCCCCAGGACCCCTTGCCAGACAAGAGGTCTCTGCAGCAGAGTGGCGACCAGAGGCCGGGTCTGGGAGCCTGCAAGTAGCTGCAGGTCGGTGGTATTTGTTCTGTTTTTGTACAGATATATATATCTATTGATCAAATGCGTATAGCTCCCCGTCTCATTAGAGATCTGGCCGTTGAAAGGACCTCCAGCGGCTCTCCCAGAGGACGGGGCTCCTGGAGGACGTCCAAAGCCGCTCACAGGCCCTGTTTTTGACAGGTGGTGCTAATCAATGCCATCAAGGACGTGGCGAAGGCCTTGTCGGACCTCATCGGTGCCACCAAAGGAGCCGCCAGCAAGCCAGCCGACGACCCATCCATGTACCACCTCAAGGGCGCTGCCAAGGTGTGGGGGGAAGGGTTTGGTTTTCCTTGCAAGTCTCGGCCAGGTCGCCTCCCGGAGCCTCGGCTTCCTCAGGTGCTGCCTCCGGCGCTTGCCTTTGCCCAAATCCCCGGAATCGGCTTTGAGGTCTGCCGAGGACGCGCTGCAGGGAAGGGCCCAGTTCGGCTCAGGGTCCCTCCGCCCCATGGCTCCCGGGGACCGGAGACCCGTAGTGAGTTTGACCCGGAGGCTTTGGTGACACGTGCGCCTTTCCACCTAATGGGAGATGCTCCCAGGTGGCTCCCCCCTTGCAGCCCCCCAGGAGAGAAGGGGGCTCCAGAAGAAAGGCCTCTTGTTGAGGGTCCAAGAGAGATTCCCGACTTGCCCCGGGGTCCCTCAGCCGGCTGGCCGTCCTCTGCAGTGGGGCTGGACTCCCCCACACAGTTGCCCAAACCCTGCTGCCGAAACTGGGCCCCCGGGGAGGATGGGCCCAGCCTTGCAGAGGGAGAGACCGCAGCAACACCTCCTTTCCTTCCTTCCTTCCTTCCTTCCTTCCTTCCTTCCTTCCTTCCTTCCTTCCTTCCTTCCT